GCTGCGTGAGGCTGTCCGGCCAAGTAGTTGATCAAACGTCTAGTGACTCACTCTCGCATGACATTTATTCAGTTAAGCTCACAGCAGACAGACGTGCGCGCGTGCAGTGCGCGAGGCCTGCCGCGCGTCTGGGATTCAGACCACCACTGAGTTACTGCACACAATAAACAACTCCTATTGGTCCGTCTCAGTAACCTTCTAACATCCATGGAAAACTTGTCGAATTAATTAGAAATGGGGTCGTCGTTTGTTGTGATCTACATAGACTTCTGCAAAGCCTCGGACAGGGGTCCACAATGACGACTGATATCGAAACTGCATCAGATTTTTATAACCGGAAATCTGTTCAAAAGATGAGTCGACTTTTTACAGACTGGTTTCAGTGTGTTTGTACTGGGGACGCCAAATCTTAATGAAAAACCGTTCATATTGGGTTCCACAGGGGAGATTTGTCGGTCTTATTCTGTTTCTGCTATATGTGAACGACTGTCCTGATGGTTTTACCTGTGATAAATTAATGTTTGCTGATAGCTTGAAGTTACAGAATTCAATTAAAAATGCTTATGGATGTGCAGAGCTTACAAAATAAACTGGATTGCCTGTAAAGGCGGTATGACGAATGGGTACATAACCCTTATTTCAATAAATGACAGGTCATCCGACTATGGTCTAGTTTCGGAACGATGGTGAAATCTGGATTCAAGAACTTCGTCGAAGGCCACCAACTAGAGTAAGTAAATGGGCTAAGGGAACTAGGTATGTGGAGGGCACCTTATTTATAAAAAGGTTTATTTCTAAAGCACATCTTCGGTGCCGTCAAAATAGCAAAGAATACTTTGTTTATCCTGGAAGCGATCAGAAAATGCTTACCTGACTTTGTCAAATAGCGTTTATTGGCATGCAAGGAAGATTTTTCAAGCCGGTTTTAGAATACACCGTTCAAGCGTGCGCCCCTGGTATAAGAATGGGCCCATACTATCGGCGAACGCTTAGGAAAGGACAATCAAACTGGTCGGCGGAGTAAGCAGCCCTCCTTACGAAGGTTGGCCCGAAAAATTAAATGTGATTTTTTCCATTTAATAGACAACAGCCAGACAATGTGGTTATGATCTTTAAATTTGCTAAAAGAAACTGTGGTCTTTAAATATCCCAGTTTTCGAAATACCAACAACATCAAGTCTCCGAGGTCACCCATATAAACTGAAGACAAATGACATTATACCTCAAGTATGGACCCAATTTTTCTTCCCTTACCACTTCATAAATGGTAGAAGGTGTTGAATTCGGTTGTATTAGCCGACAAGTTGAGACTTTAAAAGATAACCTTAAAAATTTGTGCTTAATGGATGTCCATTAATTCAGCATCAATAATTGAATAAGTATTCTCTAATAATGTCATATAATTCATCTGTATATGTGCATGTACGGTTTTAATTGTTCACGTAGCTCGAATACCGAATTACAAGTCATAACGAAGGAATAAGTTACATTCTGGTTGTGTAGGATGCCACATCGTATCTGTTGGAGCCTAACCTTTACGACACGGTAAGCTGCATTTTACTTTCCGAAAAATTTTCTCCTGTATGTCTTTTCAGTTACAAGTAATGTCTGCCTTAGTTATTCTTTTAGACGACATTCCTAAGGCATGTTTCTGCTCCTGTGGGGCGACACACAGATTACGGATAAGTCACGCGACGAAATTGCTAGGAACGACACTCGTATCAAAAAACTAAAATAAAGCGAAGCTTATTAAAACTAGAGATATCCAAAAAACACGCAAAATGTCGACGATAATTACCTCAAAAATGTTTTACTACATTGAAATTCAGATGGTAAAGACAAAGGCATTCGAAAGCAATTATGCCCATGCGGTGGATAATAGGGTGTAGCCCTAAATTGCATATGCTACCTGGCGTCTTCTTAAGCAAGAATAAACTTTTATTCATTATTTTCAGTTTTACAAGCACTGTTACCGCACTAGTGCGACATATGTATAAGTTACGTTGTAAACATCACAGATCTGCAACGTTTATGATAACTACGCATTTTAAATCCGCTGTTGGAGTCCGTGGAACTCCCATGTCGTTGTTGCCTGTGGGGTGCACCTAGGCGGGATTTCTTACACGCAGTTTTTAATTCTCCACCAGTCAATCAGATATTTAGCTTGGCCTAATCTTGTGTCTGCTAACTCCTAAAGATTAATTTGTTA